TCTGTGATTTAAATATATCAGTTTAGACCTGGGCTATTAGGGGCCACAGTTTCTGAAGGCCCAGAGCTCAGGGGCCGGACATCCAGCAGTTATTGTCATTAAGAAAGTTTGTTTTATGGTTTAAAATCTAGTTTTATTTAAAAATGAACCCAATGATTTAATTTGGGTTTAACTCTGTTGTATGTGTTTTCTAAAAAGTTTAAAGGCCCAACAACATCTGTCTCCAATAGATCAAATTTATTTTAAATACGTTTCCTCTCCAGTTTTTGAGCTGAACTGATCCCAGATCAACGAATAGTAAATTAATAAAACTGGGTGAAGTTAAAGTTTTACAGTATACCATTTGTATATTTCAGTTTTTATCATTTGAGCCACAGTTTTCTTTGTGTCACCAGTTCTTCTTGAAAACAGCGAAGGTTCTTGTTTCTTGATGATTAACTCTTCAGTTTGGTTTTTAGGATCTGTTGTGTCTCCTCATTCTGGCACATCTGGTTTTTTATTATATTTTTGTAGTCGTTGGTTATTTACCTCTTCTTGTTTTCATCTTTATTTAACTGTACTACAAGTACACTTATTTTACACTAAAAATGAGGAAGTGTACTTGAAGTTTACTTTGTATAAACTTTATTTGATATACTTAAAAATAGTATAAAAATGTCTTAATTTAGTTCAAACAAGTAAATCAGTATACGTCTAGTACAGTACAAGTATGGTGTGTAGTATACTTGATATACTTCTACTGAACTTAAAGTATACTTGTAAAAATAGATTCAAATGTACTACTTTTTGTTAAGGGTAGGCTTGTGTGTTTGGAGTTATTTGCTCATTAAGGAGAAGTTTCAGCAGCGGTCTAAGAAGAGTCTGTTTCCCATCCACATGATAATTATGAATGAGCACCGTGACCCGTCCCGGCTCTGCCCAGAACCATTCATCCGATGACGGAGGTCTTGAGAACCTCCCCAGGAGATGCTGTAAAGACCCAAACCACTTCTTTCAGCCTCCTGCTTTTGCAGCTTTTTTATTTTTGAGACATTCTCAATTATCTGAACTCGTCCCTACGAGTCACAACAATCTCATTTTAGCTTCTTGAATTTGGGAATTTCTTGTTGCCAGTCGTAGCTCATGACCCACGTTGCCTTCATGCACATTGTTACCAACTTATTATCCAGAAGCAGAAGCTTCTCAACAGATGAGAATCTCTGACTGCACTCTGAGAATCCATGTAAAAAACATGTGAATATCTGAGAAAACCATTTCCATTTCCATCCACACGTGTTTATTGATGCATTATGTTATCATCATCTCAACAAGATGATTCAAATCTTTGCCCCGACACCAGTTCATACGTCTGCTTCTTATTTCTTAAATTAAAAGACGCTGCTCTTTATCATGGGGTCCCAGACTGAATCCTGTTTTCTGTGCAGGTGGACGGTGAACGCTCCATTTGCACTTCATCTGTCCCAGATTGACTCGACTGGTTTCAGTGAAGGAGCTGAACGCTCGTTCTCTCTCAGATTATCAGAGAACAGAAGTGGAAGTCCAGCTGTCTGCAGGATGCTCAGCAGGTGTCACTTCCTCCCCCTCCTCTTCCACTCGTGCACTCTTCATCCCCTCACGTCAGTGTTTGCTCGTCATCATGTCAGCTACAGAACCAAACAGTTGGTGTGACCCGTTTTGTTCTGTAGATTATGATGTCATGAAGTAAATGTTATGATGTCATGAAGTAAATGACACTCAGCTCCTCTCTGCTGTTTCCCATTCAGGTCTTTTGTTGCTTCATTCCTTTATCTTCATGCAGAGGCAGGTTTTACTCTAAAGCAGAACCACAGTTCAGTTTTATTAAACCCAAAATGCAACTGATTAATAAAAACGGTTCCTATGCAATAAACTGAGTTAAGCTGCAATTTTTAGTTTTTAACACATTTAACATGATTTTTAATGTAGTTTGGGAGGAAAAAAGCACAATTAGAACAGAAGTAAACAGTTTAACTCAAACAGCTTCCTGTCTTTGTGCTCCAGCAGCATTTTGTGTAGAAATGATGACCAGCTTTAGTTTGACAGTAACAAAAGCAGAACTTCTGTTGATATTCACGGCTCGTGCATTTTTCACTGTCGTTAAAACAAAAAGCGAAAAACATTTAGTTTTAAAAAAAGGAAACCACCACATGTGCATGAGAAGATGTTTTGTCTCGTCTTTAACTCAAAAAGTTGCAAAAATCAAACAAGGTGGCCGTTTAGAGAGAAATGAGGTAAATTTGTATTTATAGCACAAATCAAGATACAATTATAAACTGCTTCACATCAAAATAACATAAGTCAAAAAATAAAATGAAATAAATTTGCCAATGATTGTGTTTGAGTATTTTTAGTAATTTTTTGTGGTTAGGTTTATTCCCTTTTTTTATATTTCTATTAATTATTTTCTGCTGATCAGTTTGTGCTCAGCCACTCAGATAATCCTGCTCCTCAGTCCTGCCACGCCCACTCACACCTGCAGCCCGCCGCGTTAGGCTCAGCTGTTCTTCATCTCACCTGCACCTAATCTCATCAGGCTCAGCTGTTCCTCGTCTCATCTGCATTTAATCTTGTCAGGCTCAGCCATTCGTCATCTCATTAGGGTCAGCTGTTCCTCATCTCTTCTGCATTTAATCTCGTCAGGCTCAGCCGTTCGTCATCTCATTAGGGTCAGCTTTTTCTCGTCTCATCTGCACCTCATCTTGTCAGGCTCAGCTGTTCCTCATCTCGTCAGGCTCAGCCGTTCGTCATCTCATTAGGCTCAGCTGTTCCTCGTCTCATCTGCATTTAATCTTGTCAGGCTCAGCCATTCGTCATCTCATTAGGGTCAGCTGTTCCTCATCTCACCTGCACCTCATCTCGTCAGGCTCAGCTGGTCATCATCTCGTTAGGGTCAGCTGTTCCTCATCTCACCTGCACCTCATCTCGTCAGGCTCAGCTGGTCATCATCTCGTTAGGGTCAGCTGTTCCTCGTCTCATCAAGCTCAGCTGTTCCTCATCTGACCTGCACCTAATCTCATCAGGCTCAGCTGTTTCTCATTTCACCTGCACCTCATCTTGTCAGGCTCACCTGCACCTCATCTTGTCAGGCTCAGCTGTTCCTCATCTCGTCAGGCTCAGCCGTTCGTCATCTCATTAGGGTCAGCTTTTTCTCGTCTCACCTGCACCTAATCTTGTTAGGGTCAGCTGTTCCTCGTCTCACCTGCATCTAATCTCATCAAGCTCAGCTGTTCCTCGTCTCACCTGCACCTCATATCATCAGTCTCAGCTGTTTCTCATCTCACCTGCACCTCATCTCATCAGTCTCAGCTCTAACCTCTGTGCCATCACTCCAGGATGCAGCATTAGATGTTGCACATGCAGGATGTGGCTTGTTTCTGTTTCTTTCTCATTCTCCCTCATGACCGTACATTTTGCAGAAACACCGGCTTTTAGTTTTATTTAATACAGTTTTAGTTTATTCTTTGAACTCCTTGTGTTCTCAAGTTTGATGAACTATGACAATTAGATTAAAATACAAATATAATAAACAAAGATACAAAGAAAGTTTAAAAAATGCTTTTCCTTTTCTAAACGTTATTTGCTTTGAAGTGTTTTATTTTTAGGTAAATATAGAACAAAAAATGGAACCGAAACAAAATCCATGTGCATCTAAACGTGTTCCTTCAGTTCATCACGAACACTCGACACTTTTAAAACTCGTTTAAAGATTTGTTTTTATTCTTGACATTTAAACGAGTCTGACATTTTTATTTTACAGTTTGATGTTTAATCTAAACTCTTTATATTATTTTAATCTGTGTGAGCTTTTTTTTTTTTTTTACAGCAGATTGATCAACATGTTTTTAAATGTATTTATAATCAAGTGAGAATTTTTAAAAATATAAAATAATGTACTTTTTCTATAAGACCCAAAAGATTACTGAAGTTTAAAACTGGGCTAAAATTCTGCACACGCACGATTCTCAGAGACAAAAGTGGGTCAGAGACGGGTGGAAAAGAAACTGGGCCCCCCAATTCTGCCTCGGGCTTCCAACACCCAGACACCCCCCCCCCCCCCCCCCCCCCCCCCCCAACCATGTTCAGGTTCATCTTTTGATTTGGATTTCCTGCCCTCCCCTCCATCCATCCATCCCCCACCCTCCATCTTGCCGTCTCTTTCTCCCTGCATCTCGTTTTGGCATCTCTTTTCATCCTAACCTCCACCCCCTCCTGCCACCACCTCCCTTCCCCCGCCCCCGGTGTCCATCCACCGGGCGGAGCAGAGACTCTCCGGATGTCAGTCATTCTCCCAGTGAACAGACGGCAGCAGCAGCACCAGCAGCAGGAGGAGCGGAGGCTGTAATCCCCCTCCATCATCTGCTCCACCCCACCCCTTTCCAAAACCCAAACCAGAGGCAGGAGGCGGGGGACAAAACCTCGCAGGACACATGTTCGGAGGCTTTGTGGAGGATCTAAATTTTAGTGGATGAGCGGAGGGATGATAAAAACTGGGTTATAGAGGCAGAAACGAGCAGCAGATTCTGCCTGGATTCACAGTGACGGAGCCATCAGAACCACCACCAGGACCACCTGGACCACCAGCAGCAGGACGGTGGACGGAGACGTGTCCTCAAGGCGGAGGTTTGTTGCTGTAGCAGGAGCTGCAGGGTCGTGCCGCATTGCCGACCACGGATAGACTTTGATGCTGTCGTCATTGTGTCACCGAAGCAGAGAAACGGTGAGGAGACGCTCTGACATGGAGGCAGGCGGCTGCTGCGTGTCGCCCCCACGCTCCCATCAGCAGGTTGGATCTGCAGCCTGAAGCCCGGACCGCTTCATCCCGCCACGGTGTGGGAAATATGCTAAAGTTGAGTACTTGGGAATGGTTTCGTGCATAACAAGTGGACGGCTTGTATGATGAAAAGTGCATCAGCAGATGATGGGACCAGTTCAGGGTGGATTACAGAGCAGCAGGCCTCCGTCTGAAGTCAGCTACTGATCAGGGAACCAGAAAGAAAAACCACTTCCCTGCCCTGTTGCTGCCGGAGGGAACCGTTAATTCTGTTGTGTTACTGCCGGCTGCTGCTGTAGAGAGCCCCCGCGGAGGGACAGCTGTTGCAGAGGATGACTCACTTACAGGCTGGCCTCTCTCCAGAGACCCTGGAGAAGGCCAAGGTGGAGCTGAAGGAAAACCCGGAGACTTTACACCAGGACATCCAGGAGGTCCGGGACATGATCATCACCCGGCCAGACATCGGTTTCCTCAGGACAGACGACGCCTTCATCCTCAGGTTCCTCAGGGCCAGAAAGTTCAACCACTTCGAGGCGTTCCGGCTGCTGGCTCAGTACTTTGAGTACAGACAGCAAAACCTGGACATGTTCAAGAACCTGAAACCCACAGACCCGGGGATTAAACAAGCCCTGAAGGATGGCTTCCCTGGCGTGCTGTCTAACCTGGACAGATATGGCAGGAAAATCCTGGTCCTGTTTGCAGCCAACTGGGACCAAAGCAGGTAATAAAAAAACACTTAGGTTTTCTGATCACCCGACTAAAGAGACAAATAAAGATCTGTGTATGTGGAGCTGTCCATTCAGCACCACTTAGTCACAGTGAATCTCTCTGTACAACCATCCTTAACGGGTTTAGAAGGTATTTTAATGTAACCATCCTAAAAAGGAGAACAAAAATTAATTACATGGTCAAACATTTAAGGACACCTGAGCACCTGTAGGACAGCACTCAGGGATCGTCTTTCTGAAAAACTTGATAAAGTTCCTATCAAACCATCCATCCATCCATCCATCCATCCATCCATCCATCCATCCTCTGTTCTTCCTTTTCGGGTCACTGGTGCCCATATTCAGCCATCACTGCAAGAGGCAGGGGACACCCTGGACAGGTCTCCAGTCCATCACAGGGACACATTGAGACAATCAACCATTCACTCTCTCGCCTAGAGACAGTTTAGAGTCACCAATCAAACCAGCCTAACATGCATGTGTTTGGTCTGTGGGAGAAAACCCACACAGCACTGAGAGAACATGCAGACTCCACCCAGAAAGGTCCCCGGCCGGGATTTGAACCAGCAACCTATCAAACTATGTTTTTTTACAAAGTTGGATTCATGCTCTCATGTTAAAGAGAAAAGATTTTTCACTAAAGTGGAAGCACATTGTTGTTTACAGAGGTGTTTACTCTTTTTCCACCTCCACAGACTGGTTTTGTATAAGACAACTTTCCAATGGACTGGTGGTGGTGGTGGTGGTGGTGTTGGGCTCTCTAATGAATGCTTCTTTTAATTTTTATTTTTTTTCCGGAGTACATGATGGTCCAAATAGAGTTGCTTCATAAGAAGTAAATCTGCTTCATGTCAGTGTTAATCTTGGTGATGATAAATACGTATCTTTGTTATGATTGACATCTTGAGTTGCTTCAGCTCAGACTTGATGTTTCCGTCTACACCTCAGTCTGAGGAGTTCAGACATTCTGGGCTGTGGTGACGAAGGAGCTCAACTGAAAGGCAAAACTCTGATACTGTACCACTGCTCTAACAGAGATGAGATATTTCCAACGAGTCCTTCTCATCTTTGGTCAGGTTGTGGTCGGAGCATGTTCAGGAGACAAACCCAGAACTACCACTCGGGGCCTCTGTTGAGTCCCTCAATCCATTCTGCTTCAAAGCTGCTGCGTCATGTCCGATCCCGTTCATTACGTGTCAGAAAATACAGACGTCCTGCAGAAGAGTCATGGTGCCCAGAAAATGAACGGTTCTAAATTTACAGGTGCATTAAACAGAAAGTTGTGAGTCAGCAACGTCTCTTGGCTCATTTAAGCTTCGCAGTGAAAATCTAAATCTGCACCGCACGTTAAATCTTCATATTTCTCAGGAATTTGGTTTGAGACCAATCAAATTTACTTCACATAGTTCCTGCATGTCTCTGGATTTAGAATCAGCCTTTTAAAAAACTGAAGAAACATCAATAATACACGTGTTAGATGCCTCCAAACAAAAAAGTGGGTCTGACTGATCTGCAGGACAGAAGTCTCGTTATCTCATCATCCTTTGAAATGAAGCACTGGTTTCTTGTTAATGGCACGCTTCGTGCTCGTTTGAATCCCATTAATCACCTGCAGACCCTTGACCACCTGGCTGGCTGGAAACCACTGCTTTAATCCAGAAACTGGGACTCAGTGATGGTGATTAAAGTACAGAGAGAACGCTCAGTCAGTGCTCAGGTCAGAAATAAAGTGCTGTGAATTAAAACAGGAAGTTAGAAGAAACTTTCACAATAATATACATTATAAAACTTCAGTTTAATGTTAATGTTTTAATTATAAAACTGTATTAATGAAACAGTTATTCAATAATCTGTTCGGGGTATTTTTGCATTACTTCCTGAGGCATCAGTAAACACTTATTACTCATTATATTATTATTATTATTATATAGTATTATTTGAATATTGTCCCGGGCTTATTGTGCTCATGAATGCACCTCGCTGTGGCCGGTCAGGATTAACATCTGGGCAGAGGTTAAAAGGCATGAGTCGGTGCAGAACATGATTTAGTTTGGCTTTAAAAAGAGATCGGGCCTGTTGGTGTTTGAGTAACCAGAGATTATGGACACTTTGACCTTCTGTCCTTTGGATTAGCTCGACTGTAAATTTCGTAAAATACTTTGATAAAATTCAAGCACTAAAAAAAACGAAAATAAATTTAGCTCAGCTCTGTTAGTTATGAAGATTAAAATGTTTCGTTTAAAAAAGGTATATACATTTTAGATCAATCTGCAGACTAAACTTATTCAGTTTTCAGTTGAAGCAACAATAAATTGATCTTGTTTTAAGACAAATGTTTCCTCGAATCAAATTTCATGACGAAGAAATGGCAGGAGATGTTGCAGGGGAGATGATGATGGTTGCAGGAAGCGGAATCCAACCTGTGAGGTGCAGGACAGGGAGGTGTTTCAGGCATCAGCTGCAAGAACATCCTCAAGGACACTCGGAGGCAACTAATCACATGTCAGGAGCCTCATGGTCATCACTAAAAGCAATTAAAGCTCTAAGACCCGCATGATTTACAGCTATAATAAACTGAATGAGGGTATATCAGCGATATCTGACGGACAAAGCCGGCAGATTCTCTTTTAATCTCTTTTATGGAGAAAAAACAATAAATCCAGTGATCGTTTGCAAAGGTTTCTGAAGGAAGTCATAAAACTTTCCATATGTTCATTTAAGTCAAATCACACTCCAGATGTGTTTAATCTGAGCTGCTGTAGCCTGAAAAAGGTAGAAACTTTAAAAGTGTCTAAAGTGGTTAATGCAGGAGTCAGAAATAAATCACACCAGGATGCTCACAGGCGCTGTGGATTTTGTCTCAGGCAGCTTCACATTCAACATCTTCTGTCCAACGTGTCCACTGTCTCTCCTCTGCACATGTTCAAATCATCTCCATCACTGCCTTGGTGGGATTTCTGAATAGACCAAGTCAGATTGGGAGATTGACAATCTGAACATAATCTCTGCAACCTCCAGCTCCTCCTACGTTTGTGTTAGAGATGCCATCTCAAAAAAAACAAAACAAAAAAAAAACAGCAGGCCTCTCTACCATCTTGTTCACATTTCCTTTCACTCTTGCAGTTCTCTTCCTCGTACTTTCATCCCCCTTCTCTCCAGAACATACCTCCATCTCTCCAGGCTCTCTTCCACCTGTTCCTTACTTTCACTAGAATAAAGTTGCATTCGGGCCCCCCCAAAAAAAGCCCGTAGCCATAATTTCCAAACCCCATCCAACCCAACAAATTAACAGTAATTACAAGTCCAAACCTGAAAAAAAAAAAAGAATTTTAATTAAGCTTTGGCTGCTTATATAGTTATTAACAGTCAGCAGATGTGCGCAGCTGAATAAAAAAGGCAGAAGATTGGAGCTGAGGGGATGTTTGTCTTTTTATGGCGGTCAAAGCTCATTAAATCCCAGCTTCTGCCAGCATTCTGCATTATTCAGACACGGAGCCTGCTCTGACATGTCTGCTTTAGGATCTCACCTGTTTGGGTCGTCGGCCGAGCGCGTCCGCTGAGTGCAGCGGCTGATCATCCATTTGGGCGATGGAACGCTTCCTGGCAGTACAGTCCAATTTGAAGCTTAACTGAATTTTATTTTATCTCTTTCAAGGCTGGTCAGCTCACGGTGAAACGGCCACGTGTGGCTGGTGATTGTATGGCAGGCCATGTTGTCATATAATTGGATCGCAGCTGATCTACTGACGCAATCAAAAGCCCGACACCGACCCGGCCCGCCCATCCAACACATTATCATGACTCAGCCCAAATTCAGGTCTTGGGTTTTCAGGTTTGGAAATGACAGCTCTACTATAGATCACAATGTCATCTGCAAACATAATTAACTGTTTCAGCTCAAGCTGTTATTGTTCTTTTCCAGATCGTCACACCGTAACAGCTCTCCAATATTTGGTCAAGTCTGATAACTTCAGTCTGTCCTGTGTGAGTTAGTGAATTAATTTTCTGTTGCGTTTTTTTCCTCAGATACACATTTGTGGACATCCTGAGGTCAATCCTGCTGTCGCTGGAATCCATGATAGAGGATCCCGAGCTGCAGGTCAACGGCTTCATTCTCATCATCGACTGGAGCAACTTCACCTTCAAGCAGGCGTCCAAACTGACGCCCAGCATGCTGCGGCTGGCCATCGAAGGGCTGCAGGTAGGAAGCTGCGATCGGAGCGCTCTGCTGGGGTTTGGTTTGAAGGCTGGGGGAGGGATGGACTGAAAACATCTCCATGGTTTGAAGTTTCCATCCCAGTTTGTAAACACCATTTTATTTTGTTTTTCACGTGATGATTCACTCGTCCTGACTCTTTGCTTTTTACTACTTTATTGGTGAGTCCAGCATAGGCCTGTCGCGATAAACTATAAATCAATTAATCGCATGATAGATGAAAATTATCGACCTCATTTTCATTTATTGGCTTTATCGTTTCTTCGTGTCTCTTTCTTTCTACTGAAGACACTGGATGACAAAAGGCTCAACTCTGGTGCTCTTTACTGACCCCTCAGTTTCTCTTTTTTCTTTAAAATCCATTTTAACCATCTAAAATCGTATTTTTGATCATTAAAAGCAGCTCAGCTGAGAAGCTAAGCTAACAGGCCGACCTCGGGAAAAACCCTCCGTCTTGTCGAAGCTCCAAAATTAACAGTTGAAACCTGTGCCTTCGTGTAAAAGTTGTTTTTCTCTGCAAAAAGCAGCCGAGAACTTGTTTACTGATTTTTTTTATTAAAAGCTTTGTGTGAAAATTGCTATGCTAAAGAGCTCAAACCACACCGAGCATCCGCCATATTGAAAACCAAAAAATAAAACAGGAACAAGAGAAAGCCCATGTCATGTCAAGGGGCCTCCCTCCCTTTTTTCTTAAAGAGACACGCTGCTCACTCCCTCACTATCCATCCTTTGGTTCAAACAGTCTTATACTGCCATCCAGTGGTAAAAAAGGTACTACACACAGAAATTAACCAACATTTATTCTTAAATTTGACAATAATTAGTAATTATTGTCAAATTTCAAACAATATTATCGTTTATCGCAATAATTTCTGAGACAATTAAATCGCCCAGCAAAATTTGTTATCGTGACAGGCCTAGTCCAGCATGACAGTTTCATGAACTGCAATGACAGTTCAAGATTGTTGTTGAGAGGAAAACCCCATCTCATGACTTGGTCTGGTCAAAGGATGCAGTAGTTTGTTGATCGAGACTAACCCGTATAAATAAAGGTTGAATGAATGGTCCGTGCGATGGTCTCGTAATCCAGAGGTTGCAGGTTTGAGCCCAAGTTGCATTGCAAAAGGGAGACCGGCACAAATAAAACCCCAAATATTTCATGCGGGTTCACTCACGGTAGCGACTCTGCAGAAGGAAGCAGCCACGAGAAAAACAAAACTTAGTCTCAAGACGTTCCTTTCTTTAAACCATTTGCACGGCAGCAGTTTAAACACGTGTCAAATGCATTTTCCTAAATAAAAAAAAAAAAAAGTGGTTCTTTTTAAATAGAAATAAATGGGTTTTCCAACAGTCTATGATTTATTGCTAAGAAGCATTTTTACACTAAATATTTAACCATACACAGATTTCTTTACTGATTGTGCTACGATTAGATGACGCAATCAAAATAGTTGTTTCTTTTTTATCTTCCTGTTTATTTTGCTTTCTGTCCGTGCTCACATTGGGTCTTAATTGATTTTGTTTGTCTGAAAACAGGTTTCCTCTTGAAAATGAGTCCTTGTGTTTCAATGGGACCATCTGAATAAATAAAGCTTAGTTAGTTTATTTGACAGGGACAATGCACACAAACACAGAACAGGACAAGTCTGTGACTGATGCGTTGCACAAAGAATATACAGCTAATTCGTAACTCCACTCCCTGGTTGGACATTTCTACGCATGAAAATACAATTTACCAATCAAAATACAGTAAGAGTACCTACGTACTCCTGCCTACACATTCATGTAATCAACCTAACAGCCTCTAAATTCATCTAATTAAAAACTAAAATACAAACAATTTAAAAATCTAAATACAAAAAAAATACAAAACATTTTCCTCTACAAATTCTAAAATCATCTTGCAACCCACAAATTTACATAAATATCATAGCACATCGTCACACATTCAGCTAACATATTAAAAATTGTAAATTTAATACTAACTCACTAACACATGACTTTTGCATCCATAAAATCAGAGTATTAAAAATGATCACATCTTTGATTTTCCTTTAGCCAAGATTTAGTCATGTAAGCAAACTTTTTAAAGTTCAGGTGTAGCTTTTACATGTGCGGGCAATAAGTTCCATAATGTTGTGCCTTTATAGGAAAAAGAGGTTCTACATACGGGAGTTATGCAGTTCTGTTCTGATGATCCTCTGGTGACTCTGCAACCGTTTTGCTTCTGTATAAATGAGCTCAGTGGATGAGGAGCTAATCTATTGATACACTTAAAAATTAATTTAAGAACACGTAAGTTAGAAAAACTTTCATAACTCATTAAGTTATGTTTGTCCAGGATTAGACGGCGATTACTCCATTACTTTGATAGTTTGGTTGTACAAGGTTGAATGAATACGAGTTCCAGAGCTGTTGATGTGATGACCTTCACAGATGAGAGGTCATCACATTCTTGTTTAGCTCAGGATATCTACACAGTGGAGACGCGTTCGGATTCACACGGCACAGAACCTCCTGCATCTCCTCCGTCATCTGGACACTTTCAGCATCTTTATTAAAACGAGGAGCTCTCAGGCAGAAAGTTCAGCGGTCGTCTGATGAGCAGCCAAACCTGCAGGCGAAGCTTCTCTTGTTGTGGGAGTCTTTGTGTGCAGATGAGCGGAGCCGTTATTGCGTTCCTCTGAATCATTCGACAGTTTGTTCTTGGCTCCATTAGTCAAAGCAAAGTCTGAAGGGAAGTGTTTCTCGAGGGAAGAGTGACACGCAGAGTCGTGTGAATGATTATCCGACGTTTGTCCGCGATATTAAACCGTCACCGCTGCATCCTGCGTGAATTTCACACTAAATTTACTTCAAATATTCAATAATGCAAAAAAAACCAAAAAGGCGGCATTACTGATAAATCAGCCTTAAATACTTAGTGCTGGATGAACGTCTGCATGTGAAGTTTGTCAGGCAGACAAAACAACCTTTTAGCCACACATCGATGGTGTTTGCAAAGTAGATGCACAAAACTGTGCACTGAATTAGAAAACGCAAACATCAGGAACAAAAAAAATTAAACTTCAGACAACTAAAACTTAAATCTTGCTCAGTGATAGCAATATAAAGAAACCACTGATGGTAAAAGAATTAAAATTTTTAAAAAAGAGCGAGGACACGAAGCAGCAGCAGCTTCTGGCTCGTGGCTGCTATCTTTCATTAGCATCAGCAATAAAATAGATGTTTTTATATCTGTTGCAGCTTATTTTCCTGCAGGGAAAGTAAAATGTGTTGCATCAAACTGGATCTACTGCAGGTAATTTTCTGTGAGATTTTATTTGCTCCATGCGACGACCCGAGGCCCTTCAGAGCGAGACTGATTTAAAAACAGGAAGTGTGAGCTGCTGCAGGTCCACGGGGTCCACCTGTTGTGGTTTTTAGCCAATTCTTGTATTTTATGCAGTTTTTATACACTCTCTGAATAAAATGGACCTTGTAGTAAATGTTCTGTTGCAACTATATTTGTTTATACTGTGCAAAATTAAGTTTTAATACAACTAGTTTAGTTATGGAGATTATCAGTGGGATAAATATCTTCACGACAACATTTAATATGCAAGTTTTCTGTGATGGAGTTACTTTAATCACTTAGTTCAAATAATCAGTAAAAAATAGTTTCAGTTTATGATTTTCTTGATGACGAATGTATTTTTATGATCCATTCTAAAAATAAAAAAATAAAATAAAAAAAACCAGTCATTATTACTGTACTGATTTTACTTCCAAGTTTTTTCATTTTTTTAAAAACTGATCATTGAAGGATAATTTTGGTTTAATCAACGAAAGTCTCAGTTCTTTGGGAGTGGTAGGGCAGAGGTTAGAGAAGGTCGTTGGTTCGACTCCCCAGAATGACATCATCATAATCTGGGTGAAAAAAGTGTAGCACTCCAAACCTGCCTCCACCCTCATTTCCTCTACTCTTAGCCCTTGAGCAAGGCCCTTAACCCCCACCAGCTGCTCCCCCGGGCGCCCTAGATGGAAGCTCTCTGCTCCACACAGAGGCTGTGGTTGAATCCAGGCGTCCGGCGTAAAAACAATCAGGTCTTCATGCGAGTTAGTTCTCTGTGATGGGCCCTGAAGAAGGGAGCAGCCGAAAGAAGAAGAAATAAAGTCTCAGTTCTTCTGTTGGTAATTATTTTCAGGGTGTTCCTTCAGCGGTGCTCTTAATTTTTTACAAATTAAACTAGCATTCCTTGACAGGACGTGTACCCCATGCCAAAGTTTTCTACCAGGAACGAAAGTTATCTGTTGGCGCTCAAAGTATGTGTTGTGGATGAGTGTCGGCTACTACCACACCAAACTTTAGCTCATTTTCTGTAAAACTCACTGAGTTATATCCAGCTTTGTTTGCTAAAGCCTGTTAGAGGAAAGTTTCAATTAAATTCATGCATTTATGAGATACTTTACAAACAGATCTGAACATACAGACATGGGCAATTACATAATCGCTCACTTTTTCTGGGAACAGATGAAAAAAATGTGTAAATCTCCAAAAACAAACCGTTCCTCTGTTTTCAGCTGAAGCTCTGATAAAACCTGATTGTGCTTCAGTGCATCGGCAGAGTCACTGAAAACGTTTTCCCTCTCAGTCGCGTTCTGTTCACAGGGTTTCTGAGGCATGGAGGGACGGAGGATTTAATCAAGGCGCCACAGTGCGGTGTTCAACACACGACAACTCTCCAAACACAGATCACACCCTGAATTATTGATGAGTGATCAACTCCGAGTCATTCTCAACCACTCATCCGAACAGAAGATTGTTGTTCAGTGCAGAGAGCCAAGGGACCAGGTGTGCATGTAGTCATTTGATTAGACAGAAACCTTATTAAGATCATCAATAATTTGGCTGCAGGTACGAAACATCATAAGGAGCTCCACTTCCTGCTTAAAGTTTATTAAAACACAAGAAGCCTCTTCAAGTTCTTTATATAATGAAGAAG